ATACGATGATCGTTTTGCATCACCGCCACCTTAGCTAACCTCCCTTTAGCCGTGCGCTCAAAACCCAATCGGAAAGTTACCGAGTTATCATGGTTTTCATTGATCGTCGATTAGGGTAAGTTTTCGATTTATTTCTAGTGAGATTTGGAGTATCTTTGTTCTGATTTTGGGTTGGTATTGATTAATTCAAGTGTGTATATGAGCAGGGAGTGATCGGCTGTCCAAAACGACATTTGTCGCTGCCACACGTGTAGCCGGGTGCGTGTGGGGCTTGTTTTGGGTCCAAGGAATTTTCTAGAATCGGCTAAACCTGACCCGTCTGGTCTGGTCTGAGTCAACCCGTTAACTTTGACAAAAAAGTTAACTTTTTCAAAAACACACCTATTTTATGTTTTTCGACATCCTGAGTCTGAATCTGAAGTCTGTTTTACCAAATTCACGCCCGGTAAGCCGTCTTTCAGAGATTTACCCTCAGATTCAATATGGTTTTAAATTAAGTCCAGTTTCTGACTTAAATTTGGTTGCTTTGTATCCGAGGAATTATTTGATGTTGAATTCAAGTTCGAGGGTGATCGAATGGAGTTTAAATGGTCAATCAGTATGGGACAAAAATCGAGGTAATACTCTATTACCTTTTGTATGCTTCTCAGACTCATTTATGGATAGTAATTACATAAATGGAATAGATTGATAAATTAGATGTATTTAATTATTAGTGGACTCATATGTAAAATTTGAATAAGGACAGAAAACGGTATAAGACTCAGACGGTTTGATAAAGAGAAATTGGAAGATTAATTAAAAGTAAGAATAAGTTCAGTAATCCAATAATAAATGAATCAGTTTCAAGATCCATGAAGTTTAATAAATTATCTTAAAAGGTTAAATATCGAGATTAACTGGATAAGAAGTTATTGAAAATAGCAAAACGAAATAAAATTATGAAAATGCCATTATAATGGAAAAAGAACAAGAATTCTTCGGATGGCGAAGAATAACTTTGAATTGATAAACTTGACTAATTATGAGAAAAATTTCATATGATCAAATTGAAAGTAATTACTGAAATGTCCTCTAGCTTCCTAATAACTATAATGATCAAAGGAGAAAAATATCCTGAACACTAAAGGAACTATAATGCATTCAAGCTTAGTTTATCGGAAATTATGTCACTAACATATTTGATGGAAATGAGGATGATACGCTTAAGTGTTAAGCATAATGGATGGATATGATAATGGAGAAGACCTAGAATGCATATCTTGATTTACTTAAGCTCTGGAATCATTGAATTGAATTCCAGATCTATATTGGAATTATATAATTACCCTAAAGTTTAAATGACCAAAATACCCCTAAAGTGTAATGACTTAAAGTATTTACAGGACTTGGAATGATTAATGCCCTCAAGCTCCAAATTGAATAAATCAACCTCGAATACCTATACGACTATATTATTTGACCAAGTTAATCAGAATAAAATTATTGTATGTATTCGAATTTGTGAAAACGATCAAATTACTCAGGAAACTCCTAAGCGACAAGGATAAATTTGAATAATAATTAAATTAAGTACTCTGATGATCTTGAATTAAGTGAATAACTTGGATAAATCTGGAAACACTAATGATCTTGTATGATATATTATCCCAATGGGTTGTAAAGTACGAATCAAGTATGTCAGCATTTCCTTATAGTGTTGCAGCTTGGGAATAAAGTAAAGACCATTGGAATATCTGTTCGTCTCTTTAAGATATTTTTAGCGATGATCCTGAAGATGAACTATGGATAAAAACTTATGGTATTAAAGGGGGAATACCCTGGAAGGGCAATGCATTTACAAGTTGACATGTAATAGTTTTGGGGTTATTAAACTCAAGTTATTTCGATAATCCAATAGATCAAAACAGATTATAAATGTTATGAACCTTTATTTCTCTCTTTTCAGCTCAAATCACTCCGGTCATAACTGAGCACATAAGTTACTCAGATGCAAAGGATCCTAAATAGCCCATTTGATTCAATTGGACTTAAAATCCTGATAATTCAATTAATAGTCCTGAATACCTTTGATTGTTGAGTAATTGAATCACTCAAGTCATACTTGAAATATTAAGTAACTCTGATATAAAAATATTACGAATACCTTCATGATCTTCAAGTAGCTCTTAAGAATTTATGGATACTCTAGTGTGTTCCTTATGTGACATGTAAATGTTTTACTTGTTTTAGAACGTGATTTTCTGAAATAACTGATTTAATGATTTACTGACTCCCTTTGTTGTGTGCTTATGGTAAGCCCTTATGGATGCAGTTCTGGGGAACTACATAACAGTGTTTGGTTGGAGGGTTCTACTATGGTTTTGAAAATATGTTATAAACAATTCATGTTTTATAAATATTTATATATTTTCACTGGTTTTAGTTGGAACACACTAGACATCCTATTCGATCTCTTGATACTAGGAATGTTTCCTATTAACTGAGAACTCATGGCTTCTACTTGATGAACTACCAGTGGAACCCCAACTTATTCTAAAAACCTGTATACGTCTTATTCAATAAGAAAATTTTATTGTTCTACTTTTATCTGCATGTCTTGTAGCATCAACTAGTAGTATTGTATTACTGAACTTCCTAAAGCTCACTCTCTTCTACTAACCATTTCAGGTTAAGGTGTACCAGTGCAGCTATAGACTTCAGTAGGGGAGTTCCACCAGTATTTCTTGCGAAGTACGGTGCTTGTGATTAGGGGGTATGTAGGTTGTAATTTGTTTTATATATGAGTTTGAAATTTATTTTACATATGAGTCTGAAATTTGTTTATTTCTGAATACTGGTAAAGTTTACTTTTGTATTTATAAATCATTTTATGATTTTACATGTTTTAATAAAAAAAAATTAATTTCTGAGATTTTTACGGTGGGTCACTCCGATGGCCCTAATGTGACACCCCGGATCGGATCGAGCCACCCGTATTGGTCTGATGGGGTTACAAATACAGTTCTGGGGAAACCACATAAAGGTGTTCGGTTGGAGGGTATTACTAAGGTTTTAAAATATGTTTTAAACTACTAACATTTTTAAAGGATCTATATACATTACTCTGTTTTGTTGGAACACACTAGACATCCTATTCCTATCTCCTGAACTTGCTCCTCTAAATGTTTGCTCTGAACTTAAATCTTCATGTCTTTTACTCGAACAAATATCAGTGGAACCATAGCTCATCCCGAAAACCTGTAGATATCTGAATCGATAAGGAAATTTTTATGATTGCCTATTATATGCATGTCCTTCAGCATCACTTGGTAGTTCTGTATAACTGAGCTTTCTAAAGCTCACTCTTTTATTCTCTATTTCAGGTTAAAAGAATCGATCAATGCAAATATCAATTTCAATATTGGGAGTTCAATTCAGCTTTATTTGTAGAGTACGATACAAGTGTAATTAGGGGGCGTGTAGGTCACATTTGATTTTTATACTGAGTTTGAAACTTGTATGTATTTATAAATTCTTTTATGATTTTACACGTTTTAACAAAAATTTTAATTTTTCTCGGATTTTTATAGTGGGTCACTTTGGTGGCCCTAATGTGACACCTCATATCGGATCGGGTCACCCGCATCAGTCTGACATCAGCCGAATAACAAATAGACGACATCTTGATCAGTCGAGACTACATCAAATTCAACTCTTGGAAAATTAAACAAAAAGAACAACCAAACAATAGATAAACAAGACTGAAAACGTGACAAATTGCAAGGAAAAGTATGTCATAAAGGCTGAATTACTGAAAAATAAAGAAACAACAGAAAAATAAAGAAATAAAAAAAATAAAGATATGATAAAAAATAAATAATACCAATGATCAACGATCAACATCAGTATCAGTATTAGTGTTGTCCCCTGCCAAACTGTTGGATCTAACCTTTTTGTCTTTATGTAAACTTATTTTATGTATAAATTTAGCTTTTTTAACATGGCTATATATTATAATGATTTGAAAATTATTACTTGACCAAAATTTATATAAAACAACAAGATAATTTTATCAATATTTGTTTCTTTGCATTTTATTATGCTTAATATGAAAAAATAATTAAAATTATATATATTTTTATTTAATTGTTTAAACTTTTTTGAATTAATTTAAATGTTTAATGTTATCATTTAGGTGTCTTATTCTTCTCGGTCATTAAAAAATCCATTATTAAATTTTTTCGCATTTTTAATATTTTTTAAACTTGTTTTTAAAATAAAATAAAAACTTAAAATTATATTTTTTAATAAAAAACTGAAATTTTTCTCAAATCTTAAAAAAACTCAAAACTTTGAAAACTCTAATTCCAAATCCTTTTGCCTACATCAACCGCCATTCTTTGCCACCATTTCCATCGACAAACATCCATTCAACTAAATATCCAATTTCGTTGTCATTGTTGTAGAATGAACATCCATTTATGGGAATCACAAATTTTAAATGATAAAAAATCAAAGTTGATGTATTGCCAATATAGGAGTCAGTGTGAGTGAATCACAACAGGCTACATTACTAATGAATAATATCATTTTTTAGATCCCCTAAATAAACATCCTTAAGCATAAACCAAACGACCTCAATGGTTAAAGGAATAATTATAATTCCTAGAGGTCTCAAATTCGAGCACTAGATATATCAGGGCATTTAAACATTCATTGTCAAATTATAGGAATAAGAGATTTAAAAGAAACAATACCAAACCATCTCTATAAGAAAACAGAGAAACTCATGTGAATTACTAATGATATGTATAAGTCTCATACAGAAAAAAGAGAACAATTTCCATAAATATTACACAAAGAAAACAAGTCCAAACCATTGACATTGTTTCATTGGATCTAAAGTAGAGACAATAGGACATGATTATAACAATAATGATAACAATAGTTCATGCATTCGACTTTAAATTACATTCAACTATTGGGGATGTTGAGCTCTCTGAAACAAATTCAAGTACGAAAAGTACTCCGTGTCTGTCATATATATGCACCTGCAAATCATGATATGCAGGTCAATAGAACTGCAGATAAGAGTTAACAACTATGCAAATCCGTACGAGGTAGTTACACGCATCCACTGAAACAACAAAAGGCAAATAGAAACTTAAACAATTCAACATCTAGGACATGCATATACAATCCAAATAATAACAACATTAATTGAGAACATCAATAGACAATATGGTTGACAAGAAGTGCATAGGAAGAGACCAACTCCCATTAAATATTACCTCTTTTGTTGTAGCTCCCCATCTATCTTAGTGTTCAATATCAATTTGATGAACCTTCGCTAGCCTATGTATTATTTGTCCCTCGTGCTCTTGTCTTCCATTTATTGGAACCAAGCTCTCAACATAAGCAATAGTTTGCATTGTTTCCCGATAAGCATGGATATCAAGATTTTTAAGCTCCCATGTGGAGGGATCAAACAACACCAGTTCATCATTAGAGCTCTCAAGAAACGATTCGTCATTTTTTCAAAACCCCAAAGCCTATAAACAATAGGAACATATTCAACACTGAATTGTTTAGTCCATGATCCATTCATAACCCATAAATCAAAAGATTTATCAGTTGCTTCCCTTGGATAAAAAATAGCACCAAGCAGTCCATTGAAGTCCCACCAAATTCAGGCGATGGTAAAGTTGAAAAAGTTTCAGTAACCATATCAAAAGAAAGAATAAGGTGATCAATATTCCCAAATGTCTGCCAATAATAAAACCCATTGATATAATTATTAAACAACGGACAACCATAAGCATGAACGCTAGGAACTGAAATTTCCTTCCATGAATCACTTTTAAGGGAATATAACTCAACTTGGTGGATCCAATCTTCCTCTTCATCCAGATTCTCTTCTAAGTAATTAGTAACAAATCTAAAAACTTTATAGTCATCAGTTTGATAATCATACCCAAAACCAAGGTAGTAAAAATTAGTGGAATCTACTTCAGGAGGATGCTGGACTGTGGATTGAGGAAGGATTTTGAACTCTCTGGTAGATGGTTTCCAAAGGGCACCCTTTTCAGCATAATGTAAACACAAGATCCCATTACAAGGACCATCAACTAAAGGTGCATACCAATGGAAAAGGGTAAGTGAATATTGTGTTCCAGTATAAAGTTTTGGCCTTTCTCGGTCGAAAGTTGAGAGAAATAATGGATATCATCATGGGTGTTACAGTGACAGCGTTTGATGAGGAGATTAAGGTTGTTGTTTTTTAGGCTGTTCTGCTGAAGTTTGGCGATGAAATAAGGTGTTTAATATTATGAAGCCCAAGGCTTTCAAACGCACCTGAAACATGTCAAAGATTTAACGAAAAGCTTCGATAGTATCTCCAACACCAATATCTCTGGTAACTCGGTTCTAGTTTTTCTCAATCCTTGCATATTCTTCCTTTCCTTTTTTACCTTCTCTGTTTCCTTTGGTTTTTGTTCAAAGATTTTATCTTGGGGAAGATAAATGAGGACTTAAATGAAAGAAAACAAGGAAGAGGACAAATCACACATTTTTGTTTATTTGTTTAACAAGAAAAGGACAACGGGCTCTTGTTAAAGGTGTGGATGGACAAATCACAATGTTCTTGCATAAAGAAAAACTAATTTAATCTTAGAATTAAATTATTAAAAATGAATAATTATTGGCTTAATAACTATCAATTATATATAAAAATGTATTGACTTGATTGAAAACAGGTTGAATGCAATTATACTATCAAATTAAATGTTAAATTTGTTAAAAAATAATATGAAAGTATATATCATATTAGTATATTTTTTTTTAAAAATAAGGATATTTTGGGATTTTATAATTTTATTGAAGGTTTATAAATTTAATATGTATTTTGTGCATCGTATCATGCTCTAAGAGTGTCGTCATGATTTTGTTTTTTTTTTGTAACATAAAAATAGATTGGAGTAATTTGTACCAAGATTGAAACGTTAAGTGTTAAATAAAAAATATGTACCAAAGTGATAATAAAATACAACTTTAGTATCAAAATATCATTTACCTTTTCTTTAAAAAAAATATGTGTTTTTCTGATAGATATAATGTATAAATAATAACTAAATTATGTTAAAATAATATTTTTACTACTAAGCCTTCAAAAATTATAAAATAGCCACTAAACTTTTGATTCAATTACAAAATGATCAGTTCATCGTTAATTGCCGTCAAAGGGATGACATTGAATGCTAAATTAACGAGAAACATATTATTTGGCCTCTCAATTGTAACTAACTTTTTATCTTGATATCTTTTCCAATATTTATAAGAAATAATTCGAACAAATATTTAAAAAAAATCAGAAATTTTAACAAATGAAAATACATAAAACATATCTAAATATATTTGCATTGTTAATAAATTTTAAATAATAAAGAAAATCACATTTGAAGTATTGCTAGTATATGAGTCTCATATAGTACCAGTGGATCCAATATTTCGATTTAATCGATTAATTTTACTAAACTTGATGTGTGAACACACATAACCACAATGACATAATGTTTGAATCCAATGCTTATTAACCTCCTTGAAATATCTTCTTCCCAAAACAAATATTGCTTTTTTTTATTATTTAATCTCTCATCTTTGTGTTCCATTCAATTTGATCCCTTCATTCAAATCCTTAATAATTTATTCTACCAATTAAAAACTTGTCCTCATTTAAATCAAATTTCTCCTTGTTTCAATAACTCACTTTTCTGAATATATTCGGTGTGAAATTTTCATTAAGAAAGTCTAATACAATATCTATTTGAATTATAAGTCTAATTTTAAATTATTATATTTTATCGTTAAGAGTTTGTGTGACGAAACAATATCAATATATATAAAGATTTATCATAATAATTTCTTTCGACTATTTCAGCTATCAATTTAAATTTCACATGAGATAATTTAAAGATTTAATCATATAACTTAATCATTTAAGCTTGTACTTTTAACCTCAAGTGTGGATAACCTATATAAATAACAATAATTGAATTACTTAAAATTGCAACACATTCATTTGACCTTTTATTTTAGTCGAAATTCAATTCAAAATATGCATATAAAAATAAAATATATAATTCTTTTTTTCGCATCAAAATTTTTAATTTTTTGATAAAATAAAATAAACAAAAATACTTCGTCATACATATAATTAATTTTCAAACATTATTTGTAGATACATGACTAAGGCCTTGGATAGAAATATGACAATTTCATACATTAATTAAGACCTAAACATCAAATCCTTCAAATCTCTTTTCTTCTGCTTATTCTTTCACTACACCTGATAATATATTTTTTGCGTACAATTCTCTTTATTTTTTTCACCTATATGTATAAGTCGTTTGCTACGTCGTAATAATAATTTTTCAAACTTTTACTATTCCTATTACAAAAATCTTTTGTCTTCACCGATTTCTCACGATTTTCTACAACTTTATTTGATAATTGAAGATTTTCGTTAAGTTCCTTCGATTTTTGAAACTCTTCTTCAATTTCCTTAAATTTATTTTCCCCTCGAAGCTTTGAAATAATTGAGCTATAGACCAATTCATAAACTGAAGATGAGCTTGAATCATCAGAATTGTCGAGTAGTAGAATCCATATAAATCATTCGCAAATTTTTCCCATGTATGCATTTTTTCAATCTCAACACTATATCTATCTATTTTCCTCTGCTCATATATACATATAAACAACAACTCCTATTTATATATATGCAAAAAAAAATTAAAAAGAACAACCCAATATGTCTGTTGAAATTCGTCAGGTTGATATGTCGAGTTTCAAAAATGAAAAAGTATAACAATTCTCATTTTAAAATTTCTAACGGTCTTCAATTTAAAATCCATTGGAGCTTTACATGTCAGAATGATAAGTTCCATTATTTATTCTTCATTTGCTTATTGTTGTAACTAACTTTTTTGTCTTTATGTTATTTGTCATGTTCTTATTGTTGCAACAAATTCTTTTTTTGCCTTTATGTTTTTGTCATGTGCTTATTGTTATAACAAACTCTTTTTTATCTTTATGTAAATTATTTTTGTCATGTGCTTATTGTTATAACAAACTCTTTTTTATCTTTATGTAAATTATTTTAGGTATACATTTAGCTTTCTTAACGAGATTGTAGTTTATATTAATTTGAAAATTTGATTTGGACAACAATCATATAAAATAATAGGAGAAAATTTTATCAATATTGAAATCCGAGATTTTCTCTTTAATGATGTCGTTTTTCCATTTTTTAGGGCAAGCACCATGTTTATTATCTAACTGACTTTTATTCTGTTTTGGTCACTCAGTTATTTTTTTTAAAGTTATATCCAATATTCAGTTTTGGTTTCATTTTAGTCACCCATCGTTAAAAGTATTAATGGTGATGTTGTGTGTCGCTAGAAGGTAATACCACGTCCATGGGCAGAACTTCATGGAGCCAACAGGAGCCTTGCCCCCACCAATTTTTTAATTATTAATTAATATTGAAAAATATATATTTTTTAAAAATAAATAAAGAAAATCCTACCTAACCCCCTCAATTAAAAAATTGTATTTTTGAAAAAAATAATAATTTAACCCCGCCTTAAAAATTTCATGGTTTCTCCCCTGACCATATCATCATTGAAAAAATAAAAAAATAAAAAAATATCACATCAACAATTCTGTTAGTGGTTGATCCAGAAATATTTTTTAGGGTGAACACACATATGTTAACAACACAAATATTTTGAACGGGGATGAACTCAAATAAAATTTCAGGGTGGGCATTATTAGTACAAATAAATAACTAACAAAATAAAATCCATATTTCATGATAGACACTATGTGGCTCTGCCACTGAGTTCTTTTAATATTTTTACAATGGATGACTAAAATAAAATCAAAACGTAACATTAGGTATGATTTTGGAAAGAAATAATTGGGTAACCGAAACATAACGAAAGTGATAATTGAGATACTAAATATATAGTTTACCCGTTTTTTTAATATCAACCATGTTAACTCTTGCTTGCTCCAGATCTATTTATTGTTGTAACAAACATTTTGTTGTTTTCCTATGGATTTATTTTCGGGTAAACTATACCAA